CTTTTAATAGTAAGCTTTTTAACATCTTTTCCTTCTCTATCTTTGAAAATTCAGTTCTTTGAGAGCAAAAGGTGTTCGTTTTAATAATTCATTAAAAATTGTGTAATAGCAAAATAAATCTGTATTTATCAAGTCATAAGCAATACCAGTGTATCTTTAGATATTAGTTTTTGCCAAGATATGCTAGATTTAACAGAAAGAGTGACCTTTCTTCCCTATATGTCTTTAAATTAGCATACCTGACTGACTAATGAAAAAGCAAACATCATCTCGAAAAACTGGTGTGTTTCGATCCAGGAAGTCACTGGCTAGTTCCACCATCACAGGCAACTCAGTCAGCTCCTCCAGAACTTGACGCGTCTGTAGAGAAAAGATGACTCAGTCACACAATCGTATTTCAAATACTCCTCTTTTCCAGCATACTTCTTTGGATTCAATGTGTTGTTTTTAGTTTATCTGATTATAAAAATGATACATGTGCATTGTTAGGAAATGCATACAGATTAAAGCATAAAAAATAAAAATAATCCAAATTCCACTACCATTTTTCACATTTTGGAATAAATACACTAATCGTATAAAATGTTGAGAGAAGTGGGAAAAGAACTGCTGTAAATCACCTTTGGGGCATCTCTAACTTCTCAATTCCTAATCTTTAAAATGAAAATTCATATAATAACCCAAGTCACTGAGAGAATTCAAGAGATAACAAAAAGATAACACACTCAGTGAAAAACACTTTTCCAATGTATTCATAAATAGTACTGTTTTCCAAAAAAAAAAAAAGCCAATACATTTTGGAAATCTTGTTTAAGAAACTATTTTCAAACTTTGTGGTTATGGGGGTTGGGGTAGGGGGCACTATGTATCACATTCTATTTTACTAAATTTCCATTCAAATTAAATTCCTTTTACTCTAAACATCAGAAAACTGAAATTTTTAGGCAGCAAATATGTATATTTATATAGATGTCTGTATTTCTGCATTAGTGACTACCTATGGAGATCACCTATCCTAACAGCTTTTAGCCTGCTACTTTAAGGTTAGGGAGCTCTGGTAGCATAGTGGCTAAGGCACTTGACTGCTAACCAGAAGGCTGGCGGTTCAAACCCACCAGCCACTCCTCGGAAGGAAG